AAGGGACTAAGCTGAAAAAAGAAAATGAATGAATGATGGTTCAAACTGCTTATTTAAAACAAGCTCAAACAACACAATTTCCTTGGTTTTTTTTGGGACAACTTATTTGTTTTATGTTCAATCCACTTAAATTAGCAGAACTATTAAGTTAAATTAATTCATCCATGTTGTCCCAACACAAATTGATTGCGTGGAATCCAGCGTTTTCTACAGTGCTGTCCAATAACTTGCCTAATTAACCTAGTTAAGCCTTTAAATGTCACTTTAAGCTGAATACTAGAGTCTTGCAAAACATCTAGTCAAATATTATGTGCTGTCATCACAGCAAAGATGAATGAAATCCATTATTAGAAATTAGATGTAAAATTCTCAGTTAAACAGCACAGAAATATTTGAAAAAGTACTAAAAAATTCACAGGAAGCCCAACAAGTTTGTCCTCAACGGTACACTTATACAAGCGTGACTGCACACAGGGTCTGTGGAGCCCTTGGATCATCATGTGCATGCGAGGAGTGAAAGGACATGAGTAATACCAGAGGGAAACACCCATTTGATACACACACACGCATACACACACACATATACGCTTACAAACACACACACACAGATGCTCAATGAAAGTGATGGAGGGTTTTGGCTTTGAGTAAGAGTCAAATGCAATCTAAACGATGCGACTGTTAGACAGGCGTGTGCTGCTGCTGCTGCTGCTGGAGTCACCGAACGCATCACGATTCCTCAAGCAGACTCACAATTCAGCCCTGCAGTTTAAGGACTGTTGTTGTTGTTGTTGTTGTTTTCTTGATAAATTACAGAGAATTTACTAGATGCGCGGCCGCTGAGCATTTCACCCACGCCATGTAATTAATGCCAGAATCTGAAGCAAACAAGACCAGAGCCACAACAAGTGTGAAGCACGACAGAAGCCGTGACGCATCACCACATGGTCAGTAAAGCTTCATGTAAATACAGTCCGAGTCCATCGGCTTCATGCCTGTAACACAGCTGGACGCACAGTGGGATCTGTCTTTGTTTTATTGCCACATTTCTGAAAAAATGCTTGGTTTTATAACAAAATTACGGTCTTATTATTCCATGTTTTATAAGATGTCAAATAAGCCTCTGGTATCTGGTTTGTATGTGAAGTTTCAGCTCAAAATACCACACTAATAATGATTTATAAGTCTTTGAAATGGCCCCTTTTAGGCTTTGATGCTAATCCTGCCATTTTAGTGACTGTTGCTTTAAATTCAAATAAGATTGTGCTCGTTTTAAAAGAGGGCGGAGCTACAAATGCATGTGTGTCAGCATAGTGGCAGATTCAAAGCTCTAATGGCGATCGCTGCTTCTCATTCAGGGCTGTCTATGCTAATGAGGGAGAGATTGTCACTAAAGTGCGAGGCTTTCCCGCTCTGATGACACTTACAAAGATAAGAATGTCAATCAAAGTGTTTCTGCAGACTGTTTTTATCAAGTGTGATTATAAAATAATGTAGAAAGAATTCATTTTTACCATTAGGGAGGTTATATTCATACACTGTTGCCACACAACTGTGTTTAAACTGATTTATGCATAAAAAGCCCTCACGTTTCAAGTAGAAATAAACAATTATGTCATTTTGAACAAAATCAAGTAGCCAACGTTCTTGAAAATTAAAAAGAAACATGTCAAATTAGCATTTTGGTGAATATGTAACAAGTGGGCGTGGCTCTGAGGCTCCGCCTTCTTTTGACATTGGTTTATTTCTGCTATTCAATAAGCCAGGGTAAGACAAAATCAGGGTTGCCAGTTCCAAGAAAAATTTCCAGCTCGATGACAACTTAAAACTTGAACAAAATGAATGAAAGTATCATTCTGGATTGAATTGTATAAATTGCTGGAATCCCAACCCCTATCATCTTTAAGATGGGACTGACAATCTTGTCATTTAGACTAATATGTGATGTGCCTTTGGACCAGAGATGCCCAAACTAGGGTCTCTAAAGTTGACCCATGGTAACCTTTGATTTGACCAGGGATGCAACGATTATAAATTTTGGTTGTACGATTATAGTCTAAGAAATAATCACGCACGGTTTCACGGTTATCACGATTATTTGCATTCATTGATTTCAAAATCCCACTAGTTTAAAACTACATTTAAAAAAATTTGGTTCTGTAATTCGGGCCTAAATAAATATTTGTTAACGTTTTAAAAGTTCATTTGATTGACTATATTAAAATCTGTGGATATTATTGATGCACTTATTGGGTAAAATTGCTACTTTTTACTGTCATTCAATGTGTTTTTGGTCATCATCAACGCATTGTCATTTTATTAGAGGCTGGACAAATAAATAGACCCAGAACGATCAAAACGATCACGGCACTGCTGCTTCAAGGACGCTCATGCCTCATGGCTCAGGCTGACATCATGTTAACATGGACACCAAAAAAAAAAAACATGCGCTGCTCACGCTTGCAGTCTGAAACAGGCTTGATCTTTCAGCACTCTCTCCGAAAACACTCGATTGATCTCGGCTGGTGGATCAACACTCGCCACGTTATCGCTCTCACCGGCGCCATTATTTGTAAGTGGGTTTAAGTTTGTTTGCAAACCTGTCAGTTTTCGCGGTCACAAATGCCCCCTGTCATCTCAACTACTATAGGTCCGCCTGAAAAGCATGTGTCTAACAGTTGAACCTTTCATTGGAAATTATGAACTTGAACGAGCTTACCTTAATTAATAGCCTCAGTCTTAGTTAGTCCAGTATGTGTGGTAGGGCTGCACGATTCTGGCTAAAATGTTGCTTAAAATCAAGATCACGATTCTTTAGATGTAAAATAAAGGTTAATATGAGTGGGCTAATATTATCGTTAATTCTCAAACATATCGGCACCTTGAAATGATAAGGTTCTCTCTGCGTTCTGAATAATTTTGAGATATTGAGCTTTAAAGTTTTTGCAATCCATATAGTAAACAGTATGTGTGCAACATTTGTTTTTTTGTTTTTTTAAAGTCTTAAAATGTAAACAATAAGTTTCATTTAATACGAATATGTCAATAACTCAATTTTGAAAAAAATGTCAGATAGAACCTTATAAGACAGAAATGACATTTCTGACAGAATTATACATTATAAATACAGTATGTGACACTTTTAACGCCATTTGAAGGTGTTCATGTTCCTGTAAAGACTTGTGCGACTGCCTTTAAGCTTCTCTCCTGATCTTGAAAATATCATTGGAGGAATTGTAGAAAAGCTAAATTAAGATCGTGTGCAGGGTCGAATCGAGATCATGATCTTTTTTTCCGATTAATCGTGCAGCCCTATTGCGTGGTTATTAGTCTCAGTGTACAAACTAGCGCACAGTTGGCATAACTTTGTTTAGTTGCTGCATTTTTGTTCCGTGCAAAAACACGATGTTGAGAAGCCTTTACGATTAATTAACCGTGACCAATTAAATTGCGGTTAATAGTGAAACCGGTTAATCCCTAGGCTTGGCTTGCCATCCTATCTGAGAAGAGAAGGAGAATGATGGGGATGTTTAAGAGATCGTCATATCTTATTGAATGTTTTATTGCTTAGCTACAGAAATTTAGGTTTTAATTAAATGTTTTAAGATTATAAAGTAAAGATTCTGCTTGACTAGTGTTTTCAGCATTGATTCCACTGTTCCACTGTAACAAGTTATAATTAAAAAAATTATACTGCACTAGTTAATTCGCCCCACAGCAATGATATTGGGTTTTTGGCCCTTCATACGAAAAGGTTTGGGCATCCCTGCTTTAGACTGTTTTATAATTATAATAATTCGTTACATTTATATAGCGCTTTTCTGGGCACTCAAAGCGCTTTACACAATGGGGGGGGAATCTCCTCATCCACCACCAGTGTGCAGCATCCACCTGGATGACGCGACGGCAGCCATTTTGCGCCAGACCGCACACCACAAACCAGCTGATTGGTGGAGAGGAGACAGAGTGATGATATGCCAATCATGATATGGGGATGGTTAGGAGGCCATGATGGACAGAGGCCAGTGGGCAGATTTGGCCAGGATGCCGGGGTTAAACCCCTACTCTTTTTCGAAGGACATCCTGGGATTTTTAACGACCACAGAGAGTCGGGACCTCGGTTTAACGTCTCATCCGAAAGACGGCGCTCACTGAGCAGTATAGAGTCCCCGTCACTATACTGGGGCATTAGGACCCACACAGACCGCAGGTTGGGCGCCCCCTGCTGGCCTCACTAACACCACTTCCGGCAGCAACCTAGCTTTCCCAAGTGGTCTCCCATCCAGGTACTGACCGGGCGCAGCCCTGCTTAGCTTCAGTGGGCGACCATGTGAGAGTTGCAGAGAGCTAGCTGCCGGCAGCAGCAGTACTCGCTCACTTGAAGCAGTATTCAGGTTGCCAAATTTGCATTCCGTAAACAGTGAATTCATCAGAAAGAAACATTTTCGTAGCCATCGCATGTTTTGACAGAAGATCAAAAAGTAACAAGCAACCCCCACAACTGCATTTATAAAATAATGAAGGAAAGCTGCGATCTGGCAACACGGGACAACACAAACTCACAGGAGAGCTGCTTTATGTAGTTTAATTCTAACTGAATGAAACACGTACACTATGGTTCAAGTTAAAGCTAAAGAGACAATTCACACAAAAATTTACATTTTTATGAATTTTTCTTGTCTGTTAAATGAAAAATCAATCTCTGACATCTTTAGCAGGAACAAAAAATACTATGGAAGTCAATGGCTGTTTTTTTTCAGCATTCCTCAGTACATCTTGCTTTGTGTTTTGAGAACAAGTAAAGAATCTGTAAATGATATTTATTGTCCGTTTTAATACTTTTAATAATTAACTGCTTTATTTACGCCAATATTTATTTTATATTGATGCATTATTAAAAATTAGGTCTTGCACAGAATACAAAGCTTGTGTTAATGTTATTATTAAGAGTATAGCAGCATTATAGTGTGATTGTGTGGTAATAAATGCATGCATGTCCTCACCAGATGTAGACTGTCAGCTTTCTGTGTTTGTCTCATTCGGCTCTTCTGCGCCGCGATGCGGTTCTTTTCTCTCCTCATGACTTTCCTCATGTCGTCTGATGAACCCTGAGGATCAGCACACAGCAGTTCATGTGTTCGTCATTTTCAGTTCAGTCTAATAGATGTTCTCTTAAACCAAGTTGTATTTTTTGTGTCATATACCAGAATTGACCAGCACGCACTTTAGAGAAGGTTTTCTGAAGTTAATCTCCACATTTCCCAGTGGTAACATTTCAAGAGTTCACACTTAGATATTGCTTGACAATGTTAGCAGGCTTGGCATGCTGTTCCGGGAGAGAGCCCTGAGAGAACTGTATGTTTATATATGTGAAATGAACAATTTCAAAGTCAAAATCAAAGATGACTCTAATTGGAAAAAATGTATGATTTCACTTTGTTTGGGATAATTTTGTAGGTAGTGTATATCTGCATATAGTGTACTAAATAATAATAAAAAAATAAAAAAATCATAAATAAAAGCACTGATAAAAAAATGGAACAAAGATAAAAATTAAATAAACAGCACAGTTTTCAGTGGAGTCTAATATTATTGAGGTAAAGAATTTTAATAATCAACCTTAAATACCACTGTAGTCTTCATTGTATAAATATTTAAACAGTTGATCTTTGTCAAAGGGCCACTGCAAAACTTTTTGATTTCTTGTGCATAAATGGTTTAAATTCACTTGAAGTTGCTTAAAATCCTGTGATGTGACTTTTGCAGGTTTGCTAATATAAGAGTAATATAAGAGTTTTAAGGCTGTGGTTGAAAGCCACCTCCAGGTTTGCACGTTTATCGCATGTTGTGGTAGACAGGTGACATTTTTAAAGACAGAGGGCAATCTTTTCCCACAGCCCCAGTCTGCAATGACGCTCTTTACTGAACCCACAAGAATCAGCGACTTTTTCCACATGAAAATTTCCCACATTATAAGACCCTTCAGAAGCGTTTGCATGTAAATGTCTACGACCAGCGCAGTTTCAGGTGAAATCAGCAAAGCACTGATAGAGAAACAGCTGAGCAGCGTAATGATAAAAACATTTACCGCTTCTAAAAGTATTAATAATTAAACAGTTGAACATTTTCATTCATTTTTAGTGGATAAAGAAAGTTTACTTTATATTAGTTCTTCAAAAGTGCTCAAACTGATTGGAAAGTCAATATTTTTTCAGTACAAATGAGATCTTTTTGATTATTGATTATTGCACTGACATTCATAGTTTAATGAATGTGTCTTAAAGGGATAGTTCATGCTAAAATGAATCTTTACTCATTATTTTATTTTATTTTGTTGAACACAAAAGTAGATATAATGAAAAATGTAGAAAAACAGTCATTGACTTGCATAGCATTTTCTTTTTCTACTATGAATGCCAACTGTTATCCGTTTCAAGCATTTTTCAAAGTATCTTCTTGTTCAGCAGAAAAAAGAAACTCAAACAGGTTTGGAGGAGGAGTAAATGATGATGAAATTTCCACACAGGCTCATGGGAAATATGTGCTTTAGCTTACATTTTTGTACTAAACATGCGTTTGACTTCAGTTTCTAGGAGCAGTGTCTGTCTGCGGACTGCAAAACAGGGGCGTAACATTAAAGAGGGGTAACTTGTAGTATGTTAGAGGCGTAACTTGAAGTTATGGAGACCCAAATGCCAAAACTATGTTGTCGGCAAGATGGTGCCGTACATCAGTTATTAACATCTACACCTAATTCAAGCCTAAACCCAACCATTAAAGTTATTAACGTCTACACCTACCTCAACCCTAACCCCAACCATCACAATTATTAATGTCTATAACTTTATCAAACTTAGCCCAACCATCACAGCTATTAATGTCTACACCTACCCCAAGCCTTAACCCAACCATCACAGTTATTAACGTCTACACCTACCTCAACCCTAAACCCAACCATCACAGCTATTAATGTCTATAACTTCACCAAACTTAAACCCAACCATCAGTTATTAATGTCTACACCTACCCCAACCCTAAACCCAACCATCACAGTTATTAACGTCTACACCTACCCCAACCCTTAACCCAACCATCACAATTATTAATGTCTATAACTTCACTAACCCTAAATCCAACCATCACAATTATTAACGTCTACACCTACCCCAACCCTAAACCCAACCATCACAGCTATTAATGTCTATAACTTCACCAAACGTTAACCCAACCATCAGTTATTAATGTCTACACCAACCCCAACCCTTAACCCAACCATCAGTTATTAATGTCTACACCTACCCCAACCCTTAACCCAACCATCACAGTTATTAACGTCTACACCTACCCCAACCCTTAACCCAACCATCACAGTTATTAACGTCTACACCTACCCCAACCCTAAACCCAACCATCACAGTTATTAACGTCTACACCCTCCCCAACCTTAACCCAACCATCACAGTTATTAACGTCTACACCAACCCCAACCTTAACCCAACCATCACAGTTATTAACGTCTACACCCTCCCCAACCTTAACCCAACCATCACAGTTATTAACGTCTACACCAACCCCAACCCTAAACCCAACCATCACAGTTATTAACGTCTACACCCTCCCCAACCTTAACCCAACCATCACAGTTATTAACGTCTACACCTACCCCAACCCTTAACCCAACCATCACAGTTATTAACGTCTACACCCTCCCCAACCTTAACCCAACCATCACAGTTATTAACGTCTACACCAACCCCAACCCTAAACCCAACCATCACAGTTATTAACGTCTACACCCTCCCCAACCTTAACCCAACCATCACAGTTATTAACGTCTACACCCTCCCCAACCTTAACCCAACCATCACAGTTATTAACGTCTACACCCTCCCCAACCTTAACCCAACCATCACAGTTATTAACGTCTACACCAACCCCAACCCTTAACCCAACCATCAGTTATTAATGTCTACACCTACCCCAACCCTTAACCCAACCATCACAGTTATTAACGTCTACACCTACCCCAACCCTTAACCCAACCATCACAGTTATTAATGTCTACACCTACCCCAACCCTTAACCCAACCATCACAGTTATTAATGTCTACACCTACCCCAACCCTTAACCCAACCATCTAAGTTATTAACGTCTACACCTACCCCAACCCTAAACCCAACCATCACAGTTATTAACGTCTACACCTACCCCAACCCTTAACCCAACCATCACAGTTATTAACGTCTACACCTACCCCAACCCTAAACCCAACCATCACAGTTATTAACGTCTACACCTACCCCAACCCTTAACCCAACCATCACAGTTATTAACGTCTACACCTACCCCAACCCTTAACCCAACCATCACAGTTATTAATGTCTACACCTACCCCAACCCTTAACCCAACCATCACAGTTATTAACGTCTACACCTACCCCAACCCTTAACCCAACCATCACAGTTATTAACGTCTACACCTACCCCAACCCTTAACCCAACCATCACAGTTATTAATGTCTACACCTACCCCAACCCTTAACCCAACCATCACAGTTATTAATGTCTACACCTACCCCAACCCTTAACCCAACCATCACAGTTATTAACGTCTACAACTACCCCAACCCTAAACCCAACCATCACAGCTATTAATGTCTATAACTTCACCAAACCAAAACCCAACCATCACAGTTATTAATGTCTAAAACTTTGACAAACCTAAACCCAACCATTACAGGTATTAATGTCTATAACTTCCCCAAACTAAACCCAACCATTACAGTTATTAATGTCTACACCTACCTCAACCCTAAACCCAACCATCACAGTTATTAATGTCTTTAACTTCACCAAACTTAACCCAACCATCATAGTTATTAACATCTATAACTTCCCCAAACTAAATCCAACCATTATCGCTATTAATGTCTATAACTTCCCCAAACTAAATCCAACCATTACAGCTATTAATGTCTACACCTACCTCAACTCTAAACCCAACCATCACAGTTATTAACGTCTATAACTTTACCAAACTAAACCCAACCATCACAGAAATTAATGTCTATAACTTCACCAAACTTAACCCAACCATCACAGTTATTAATGTCTAAAACTTCCTCAAACCAAAACCCAACATAACAGTTATTAACGTCTATAACTTCCCCAAACTTAAACCCAACCATCATAGTTATAGACGTCTACACTTACCCCAAACCTAAACCCAACGATTATAGTTATTAATGTCTACAACTTTCCCAAACCTGGAATTGTCATCTGAAAAGCGCCACAAAATGTACCCAGAGCAAAAAATTTTACATTTTGCAGAAATTAATGCTTAGGCACATTAAAATATGTGCATGAGTTGGTCAATTTTAATGTTTGGGGTGAACTATCCATTTAAGGCAAGACAATACATGTGAATAGTGTAAAGAAATAAGTTATAGTGATCACTATGCTTCACCAGTTCAACAAAGACACACTATTCTTTTAAATATGCACTAATTTGCGTATATTTTTGTAATAAAATATTGACTAAATAAAATCAAAAATACCTAAAATTACTGTTTAATATTTAGAGAATCTCTTTGTCTCTCTGCTTAATTCAGAGATTTAAAAAAACAACCGGAGGGGTAAAATAATCACATTTTTCTTTGTAAAATGTATATATGCAGGCAAACTATATATAAACAAATCCCTTGGTTAAACCTTCAGAATACAGATATAAAAACTGTAAAGAGCTGCTGAAGTGGAGATTTACAGTGGGAAAAAAATCATTTTTAGAACTTTTTTTTAAATGTATTGTAGCTGAAATCTACAGACACACGTTGCTAAAGCGTGACAAAAGAAACACTTAAAAGTACATGTTGCATGTATTCTTTCCATTAGACTGAAAATACACCATTCAAAAATCTTAAAACTGACAGATGCACATAAAAACAGGATCTCATCTGAAGTGTGCAGATGCATGAAGCACGTGAAGGAAGTTACACTCTCTCTCTTTGTGTGTGTGATAATTATCTCTTATGTCGTCCAGTGATGTTGGAAAGGATGTCGTGGCCGTTTTTACCTTCAACTCTTATGGCTTCATGCCATCCTAACTCTCAAACTCTCACTACATGCAGCTTTATAGTTATAGTCAGTTGCTCAGTGCTAAAGCTGATTACCTATGTAAATGTTGAAGTAAAGCATCTCAGGGTTTCAGTAATGTGTGAACGGCTCGTTCTGAAGATTATATTCACCATCAGCCTCATGACTTCCACTGAGTCATAATCTTTCGTTCACACACGTGCAAATCTACATAGAAACATGCACACACAGATGGTCTGTGGAATGCATGTGAAATCTACGGTCAAATACGTGGATTTAAGCTTGCAATCGGACTTTATTTGAAAGTTTTGTATTACATGCATGTTGCATCGGGTTTCATTGTCGACTATTAAAATTAAAACCAATTAAAAATAAACAAGTAGGCAGGCATGAAAGTATTGTGACATTTTCATAATGTAATGTTTTATGTTATGACAGAACTCAAATGTTTTAATATTGTTATATATATTTTTCTGAGTTATATATAAAAATAGTAAAATCATATAAATAAATTGTTTTAAAAAAGTATATATTTTTTGAATATTTTTTTTTCTGTATAATAATAATAATAATAACGAGTAAAAATGATTTTTATTTTATTTTATTGTAATCTAATTTATTTTATATTTGTTTTATTGCATTTGCTCTTTTTTTAAAGTAAGTGGTTGCAAACAATTACCTTATGACAATATTAAACAGCGTTACCTTTTGATATTATTAAATAACATTATTTAGTTAGTTAATTTAAGTAGTTTGTTTAAATTCAAGCCATTTTTTTGCAACCACTTTAAAAAAAAATATTAAAATTTTTTTCTTACTGTATTTTTTTTTATTCTACATTACAGTGTTTATATGTTATAAAACATATTACTTTGTTTATAATCTATAAATACTTATTGATATGATATTTACGTTAATGACACAATGTTAATAACATTCTCAGTGCATCTTCGCTGAGCTATATGATATGCATGTATGCATATTGCTGGTAAATCTCTCCTACCTGTTTATTGCCCGGTGAGGGTGATTTGGTATAGCTGGTGTCGTTATTGTCAGAGCCCTGAGCCATGCCACTTCAGTCCCTGCGAACTCTCTGACCTCCTTCAGCGTCTTGTGTGTGTTTCTCTCAGCGTCTCAGACTTTATGAGACTGCATGTGAAGTGATCGCGATCCTCCGGCGAATGAGTACAGACGGCAGCTCGCACTCTTTCTTTCTTTCTTGCTCTGCTTCACTCCCTCTCTTTCTCTCTCTGTCTCATTAGCAACGTGTGATGTGGTCGTAGATAGAAAACCTCTATATGCACTAGACTGGAAGTCACATGGTTCTTGGAAACTTTGCATGAAGTCTCTTATACGCAACACAGCCAATGAACATGCATAAAGAGGACATACAAACAGAGAGATGGCAGGAGGATCACTTGCATCTTAAAATAATATTTGGGAACTTTCCTAAATATTACTCTTTAAAATGCATGCATGTCATTAGATGATATACATGTGGGTAAAGTGGCATTTAAAGCTAGATTTTATCAAAACAACTCACACAGCAATGTATAAAGATACTGTCTGTAAACATATTTTGTTTATTAACAATTTTTTAAAAAGACTTTTGACTTGGATGTTGATATTATAATTCTGTTGTATTATATCAAAAACTTTAAAAATAATTTGGAAATAAGATTTTATTATAAAAACAAACGGCAATGTGAACATTTTAATATATATAAATATATTTTATGTAATTACATTTTTTATATATATATATATATATACAAATATTTTTGGTGTGTGTGTGTATATATATATATATATATATATATATATATATATATATATATATATATATATATATATATATATATATATATATATATATATATACATACACACACACACACACACACATGTATTCATAAACCTATTTAACACTTTAAATGCCTGAATGTCATTGCATTAGATAGAAAATAAGAAAAAAACTACACTTTCCACTACAACAGTGTTTCTCAACCACTTTCCTGGAGAACCACCAATACTACATGTTTTGGATGCCTCCCTTTGTCTGTCGAACTCATTACAGGTCTTTCAGTGTCTGCTAATGAGCTGATAATCTGAATCCGATGTGTTTGGTTAAGGAGACATGGAAATGTGCAGAGCTGGTGGTCTTCTAGGAATGTGGTTAAGAAACATTGAAAAATAGGCTTAGTTTTTTTTTTGTTTATAAGTATATTTTTAAAATGTATTGTTTTGCATGTTCATAATATTTTAATTATGTTATTACAACTCAGAACACCCTGACAAACACAGCAACATGAAGAGCTACAGCACGTAGATACAACATGCACCTTGGGGACCAAAGTGGACCGGATGGGTCTGATGACAGAGGCGGAGGCAGGGATCTGGAAGACTGAAGTGGAGCCAGAACAGCTCAGTATCAAGGTAGAGCCAAGTGGAAAAAAGAGCCACTGTTGGAGGAGATCTTAAGATGGAGGCAAGTGGACGACTGCACAATGTGGAGCTGGATGTCCGAGGGAGTCTGGCAGAGCTAATGGATGGTCAGATGGACTTTAGTGGTGATACAACAGCATGGTACTAATGTGGATGGATCAGAGACTGGGCTGGAAAACTGACTGAAGTCTGGAGATGAGCTGAGAGAGAAAGGTTGGGTAGGATCAGTGGAGACTGTTGCATAAAGTGCAGGGTGGGTCCAGTGGAAACCTATGGGTTAAGGAGCTGTGCGGGACCAGTCGAGACTCAGCGGACAAGGAGCTGTATGGGACCAGCCGAGACTCAGAAGATTAGGAGCTGTGCGGGACCAGCCGAGACCCAGGGGATGAGGAACTGTGTGGGACCAGCCGAGACTCAGAAGATTAGGAGCTGTGCGAGACCAGCCGAGATCCAGGGGACGAGGAACTGTGTGGGACCAGCCGAGACTCAGAAGATGAGGAGCTGTGCGGGACCTGTCAAGACTTAGGGGACAAGGAACTGTGTTCGACCAGCCGATACTCAAAAGATTAGGAGCTGTGTGGGACCAGCCGAGATCCAGGGGATGAGGAACTGTGTGGGACCAGTCAAACCTCAGGGGACAAGGGGTCTGTACGGGACCAGTTGAAACTCAGGGGGACAAGGAGTTGAGAGTGACCAGCCAAAATCTAACGGATGAGGAGCTATGCGGAACCAGCCAAGACTCAGGGGACAAGGAGCTGTGTGGGACCAGCCGAGACTCAGAAGATTAGGAGCTGTGTGGGACCAGCCAAGACTCAGGGGACGAGGAGCTGTGCAGGACCAGTCGAAGCTCAGGGGACAAGGGGCTGTGCGGGACCTATGGAAACTCAGGGGACAAGGAGCTGAGAGTGACCAGCCAAGACCTAAAGGATGAAGCGCTATGCTGGACCAGCCGAGACTCAGGGGACAAGGAGATGTGTGGGACCAGTCGAAACTTAGGGGACAAGGAGATGTGTGGGACCAGTAGAAACTCAGGGGACAAGGGGCTGTGCGGGACCAGTAGAAACTCAGGGGACAAGGATCTGAGAGTGACCAGCCAAGACCTAAAGGACGAGGAGCTATGCTGGACCAGTCAAGACTCAGGCGACATGGAGCTGTGAGTGACCAGCCAAGAACTTAAGGATAGAAGTTGTGTGGAACCACCCGAGACTCAGAATATGAGAAGCTGTGCGAAACCAGCCAAAACTCAGGGGACGAGGAGCTGTGTGGAACCAGTCGAATCTTAGTGGACAAGAAGCTGTGCAGGACCAATTGAGACTCAGGACCATGGCTGATTCACGCTCCTGTTCAAACAAACACTGAGCCTTTGGTATTAAGACGATGGCTGGATCAGTCCCTTAAGTGTGCTGGCATGGTCCTCATAAAGTCCTAGGGATAAGTATAATAAAGTCCTTGAGGGAGCTATGTTGGTACATTTATAAAACCCAGAAGAAAAGGTCAATTGTCTTAATATTTTAAGGTCCTGTTGCATGTCCTAAAACAGGTTACAGACACAAATAACAAAGTAATCCAACAAGAAGCAGGGTAAACCGAAGACAGAGAGAGAGAGCAGTCATGTGGCAATTGTTTTTAATGTATTATAATTTATGTTAATATGGAAATGCGGGTTGGTTTTGTTGTAAATTATAATTAACATTGGTTTGGAGCTGGGTGTCATGGTGACGCAGTGGGTAGCACGATTGCATCACAGCAAAAAGGGCGCTGGTTTGAGCCTCGGCTGGGTCAGATGGTATTTCTGTGTGGAGTTTGCATGTTCTTCCTGTGTTGGCGTGGGTTTCCCCCAGGTACTCCGCTTTCCCTCACAGTCCAAAGACATGCGGTATAGGTGAATTGGGTACACTAAATTGTCCGCAGTGTATGTGTGTGAATGGATGTTTCCCAGTGATGGGTTGCAGCTGGAAGGACATCCGATGCGTAAAACATATATGCTGGATAAGCTGGCGGTTACTTCCACTGTGGCAACCCGTGAATAATAAAGGGACTAATCCGAAAAGAAAATGAATAAATGATTTAGAGCTGATATATGTGATGTGTTCATGAGAGCTAACTGAACTTCACACATCCACTAAAATTCATCCGGAGTGTTTATTTGAAGCCACTATAACATATATTTAGAATTTATTTGTCTGCCTTAGAGTTTAATTTAACTCAATCAGTTTTAATTTTAACTAATAAATATTTAAATTAGCTCTGCCAAGTTTGCAGGGTAGTGATGTTGGCAGGCAGCAGATTTGTTGCCTGTGTGATGGATTTATCCCTGAACTCATTAGTGTTTCTACTAAGATAACCAGCAGTACTGCTGTTGCTGAAGGTTAGTGATTCAAATAAACTTTTAGTGATTCAAACATACCTTTAATGATTCAAACAATGCTTATGTGTCAAACTTCTCTGCAGGTATGAATGATTTCTCATAATGTGGCTTGTTGACGAGAGGTGACAACTCAGAGCACCCTAGCAACCACAGAGCAACATGTCACAAGACTAACAACACATACAGTGCATTTAATTTATTTTTATTTTTGTCTTTTATAATGATACTTGAATAGCATTAGTGCAAAATAGGAGGGTTTAAAATTAGCATATTATTGGAACATTATAACCACACCGCATCATTCATTCATTTCCCTCCGGCTTTGTCCCTCATTTATTAAGAGTTGGAACAGCGGACTGAACTGCCATCAAAAAAATATATTCTACTTTTTTAAAACATATACATTTATAAAATAAATATATATAATATAATATATAATAGTATTATATAATATATACATAATTATAAAATTCATTTGTTTATTTCCTCAAAATTCTACACACAATACCAAATGACAATGTGAAAATTTTTTTTTTTTTAAATTTACTAAAAATAAAAAAGCTGAAAAATCACATGTACGTCAGTATTGACAGCCTTTTCCGTGAAGCTCTAAATCAGGGGTGGCCAATCATCTTCCTGGAGATCTACCTTCCTGCAGATTTCAGTTGCAACCCTTATCAAATACACCTGTCTGTAATTATCCAGTGGATTTCAGGTCCTAATTAATTGGTTCAGGTGGGTTTGAACAGGGTAGGAGCTAAACTGTACAGGAAGGTAGATCTCCAGGAACAGGATTGAGCACCCCTGCTCTAAATTGAGCTCAGCTACATTCTGTCTCTACTGGTCATTCAGATGTTTCAGCAGCTTAATTGAAGTTCCCCTGAGGTAAATTCAGTTGATTAGACATGATTTGAAAAAGCATACACCTGTCTATTTAAGGTCCCAGGGTTGACAGTGCATGCCAAAGCACAAACTAAGCATGAAGACAAAGGAATTGTCTGTAGACCACAGAGACAGGATTGTCTCAAGGCACAAAGCTGGGGAAGGTTACAGAAACATTTCTGCTGCTCTGAAAGTTCCAATGAGCACAGTGGCCTCCATCATCCGTGAGTGGAAGATGTTTAACCACCAGGACTCTTTCTAGAGCCGGCCGGCCATCTAAGCTGAATGATTGGGGGAGAAGGGCTTTAGTCAGGGAGGTGATCAATAACCCGATGGTCACTCTGTCTGAGCTCCAGCGTTTATCTGTGCAAAGAGGAGAACCTTACAGAAGGACAAGCATCTGTGCAGCAATTCACCAATCAGGCCTGTATGGTAGAGAGGCCAGACGGAAGCCACTCACCGCCTGGAATTTGCCAAAAGGCATCTGAAGGACTCTCAGACCATAAGAAGCTAAATTCTCTGCTCTGATGAGACTAAAATTGAACTCTTTGCAGTGAATGCCAGGCGTTACGTTTGGAAAAAACCAGGCATCGCTCATCACCAAGCTAATATGATCCCTACAGTGAAGCATGGTGGTGGCAGCATCATGCTGTAGGGATGTTTTTCAGCAGCATGAACTGGAAGACTAGAAGAATGAAAACCTGCTTCAGAGTGCTCTTGACCTCAGGCTGGGGCGGCGGTCCATCTTCCAGCAG